CTTGCTAACTTAACTTGGCAGATGTGACCAGAAAATGGGTCGAGGACAATTTGGATATCTATAAGGTATTGTCCTCTTGACATGTAGATTTATTCAGTCTTTTAACATAATGTGCAGCCGGAGCTCCGACGTGTCCTATGGCCTCTGTTCGTCTACTCATATCTTAATCTCATCACGTCCTTAGTGCCACTGGAGGGTCGTCAGTTTTTCGAGGCAAACAAGAGCTTGTTTCTTCCCGAACATAGCGAGGATATCCGCGCTTTGGAGCCAATAAGCCTCCCTGAACATGTACAGGAGAATAGCGTTGCAAAGCTATACCGTAACAATAAATATCGCCTTACCTTGAGCAATCCAGCATTTTCAAACCTTATGCAGTTCCTTGAAAGCAAGCAAAAGGAGGGAGGAACTGTGATGTCGGCTATTCTTAGCAGCTATTGCACAATAATTACTAAAGATCGAGCCGCGGATGATCGCTTCAGCTTTGCTGCGATGCTTGGAAGAGCGAACAATTCTTCCGGGATGCCTGCGGAGGACGAAGGAATACCAGGCCACCACCCGGGATCTGCATATACCGGTGATAACCCTGCAATGGCAGGAACGCTTCCCAGGCTCAAGCTTGGAAAACTACCGATGGAGCCACTCCTTGAAGGAGATGTAAGGGCTGAACTTGAGGAGGCAGACGTGAAAGACCCTCCAACCGGAGGTCGCCCATCTCTTGTTCAACACTTTGAACAAATGATCAAACGAGAAGAAGATGAAGAAGCTCCAACACGCGCTGAAATACCATATCCGCCCTCAATGGCCCGTGATGTCGCCATGGAAGTGCAAAAGGTTAAAGAAAACCGTGATAGATTCAAAATCGAAGGGCGAACTGGAGGTGTTGGCCCTGCCATCAGTGTTTGCATGTTCACTTTTCACAATACTTACGATAGGTACGCTAACAGCAACTTATGACGTCCCCCTCTTCTGACTGTCTGTGCTCTAACCGGCCTCTAGCATCAACTGCATAGATTTCTCTGGCGATAGTATGTTGGTTGCCGCTGGGACACAAGATTCTTATATTCGTGTTTGGAGTCTTGATGGTTTACCCATTCCACCAACCTACCCAGACTCAGAAGATTCTGCCCCTACAAACTCCCACCGTCTCTTTGGCCATTCCGGACCGGTCTATGCAGTGGCATTTGCCCCCTCTATCGCCAGTCCGGAGGATGAAGAAGTCAAGACGAATACGCGCTGGCTTCTGTCATCATCGGCTGATAAAACCATCCGTTTATGGTCTCTTGATCTCTGGCAATGTATGGTCGTCTACAAGGGCCACGCACAGCCGGTGTGGGATATCGCTTGGGGTCCTTATGGCCATTATTTTGTCTCTGGCAGCCACGACAAAACTGCACGCTTGTGGGTGACAGATAGAATACGACAGCAGCGGATCTTCGCCGGACATGATCAAGACGTGGACTGTGTATGCTTCCACCCAAATTCAGCTTATGTTTTCACTGGTAGCTCCGATCATACTGTGCGGATGTGGGCCGTAACCACTGGAAACGCCGTTCGCATGTTTACTGGCCACACTGGTAACATCACCGCATTGGCATGCAGCAACAATGGCAAAATTCTTGCGTCGGCTGATGATCATGGCTCCATCTTCCTGTGGGATCTAGCTCCTGGTAGACTCTTAAAGCGTATGCGTGGCCACGGGAAGGGTGGTATTTGGTCTCTCACGTGGAGTGCTGAGTCGACAGTCCTGGTCTCCGGTGGTGCGGACGGTACTGTTCGTGTTTGGGATGTGGCAGGGCCGGCTCAGGATCCGTCCACTGGCCAAGGGCGTGTTATAAGCGAGGGCGGCGCTGGGACAAAGATTGATGCTGGAAACCCTGCCGCTTCATCAAGCGCTCAGGCCTCGGCTGCAGGTGTTCCCAGTGTTGGCACAGGCACGACGAAGAAGAAAAGCAAGGAGGTTGTCGTAACCCCTGACCAGATCAGTGCGTTCCCCACCAAAAAGAGCCCTGTTTACAAAACGCGATTTACAGGAATGAACCTGGTCGTTGCGGGCGGCGCATATATGCCATGAATAAAGGCGGCAGATCTCATAGCATTTAACGCATGTACGACCGCTTTTCCCTTTTTGTTTCCCTACCATTTCTTATTTGCGATGTTTAGATCTCCTCTTGACTTTTACATTTTAATTTGGAATTTTCCCGCAAAAATGATCAGCTACCTTGTTTATACATGTTTTCTCCATCTTTGGCGTAAAGGCAGAGATCAAACCTTGGGCACTTTACTATTTATGGGAAGGGCGAAGAAGGGGGGGGGGGCGGTAATTTTGTTTTTATGAGATTTCTTTAGGCTTTTCATTCCCGTGGGTATGGTCGCTTCCTTTCAAAATGATTTTTTCCCTTCTTTTCCTAGCCTCCGCCCCATGGAAGTTTTTAGCAACGTATCTTTATTTTATCTCAACGCGACAACAATTGGTTCTATAATATAGTCGCGCGAGTCGCTCACAAAGTAAACTGACAATAGAATGAGGGTCCTTCCTGCCGTCATCCCTTCCGCGCGCGGATGTTGGCGCGTCCATAGTTCTTTCAAATTTTCTGGTATGAAGCAGAGGCCACAGGCAGCTTTCGGTAATACGATGCCGCCTATGTCAATATTCATGCAGAAATGCGCTTCACTAAAAGGAGTTAAAAATGCATTCATGCTTTCGCCCGCAAAACAACTCCCTGAATTAGGTACAGTTAATCAGGGGTCTGACTTTGTCCAGTTGCTTGGTGGGAATCCGCCCCCATGCCCCCATGCCCGCCGGCCCCAACTCCTTTCGCCATAGCCTGTGCCGCCAACACATCACCGACTTTGGGCGGAAGGACGAGAGCGCTTCTGTCATTTCGCTTATAGAAGTCGACGAGGATCTGTGCTGTCTTTGCGGGCTGGTCTTCCTGGATAAAGTGGCCTGATTCGGGGAACACTTGGAGTTGATATTTGCCTTGATTGTTTTTTGAGAAGATTTGGGGAAGCATGATTTAGTATGGTAAAATAGTTGTTGGGAGTCTAGAAGTTTCAAAAGGACTTTTTATAAAAAGAAAAAGAGAAGAAAAAAAACCTACCCTGCATTTGCCCGATCATAAGCTCTTTGTCAAGACGGTCCGTTCCAGCAAGCAGCAGCAGTTTGCCCCCGCGGGCTTGGAGAAACTTCTTGCTAAGGCCTATGAACCAATTCTCCCAAAATGGTTTCGTAGCGGCTAGGTCTGTGCGCCACTTCCACGGTCTAGACGTATCGGAAGGATCTTCACGGAGGAGGGATGGTACAGACACTCGTGCAGACAAGGTATTGCGGATAGTTCGTGATCGGGTGCTATACAACGTTATTTAGTTTCAATTAAATTAATGGAACCGGTCGCTCTGGAAACTACGAGCGAAGGGGAAGAAACTTATATGTGCAACATACTACCAACTAATCCCGGAAGCCAAGGAGGGAAAGCTAGACGGCCGGGTAGAAAGGTATGTTTCCATACTTTGAAGCCCATCCATCGCGGAACCTGAAGTTCATCAGCAATATTCCGATGATATAAAAATTCTGAATCTTCGCTACCTTCAACGACGTCTAAAACGGCATAAGCCAGGAGCTTCGATCCAAGTTCACCTTTCTTCGCAGCTTCGGTGACCACAGCTCCGCCCAAGCTGTGGCCAACGAAAACGACGTCCGGGAGCGATTCCCAGTTCATCTTTATTCGGGTTTGGTCGATCACGAAGAGTAAATCACGAGATAACGTCTCGAGGCTTAGATCTATCTCTACCTGTGAATTGTCTTCCGCACCTTGACTCTTTCTTCTGACGGAGGTACTTCCATGGTTTCGCGCATCTAGAGATAATACGCCAGCAGTAGGGAGGATCTTCTTAATTTCCGCTGCACAGGCAGCAAATGAAAGGCCGGACGATCCAGCACCGTGGTGGGTGACGAACAAAGGGCCGGACTCTGAAGGGGCACTGATGTACGCATGGTGGGAGATGTGTAAACCCTCGATATCCTCTTCTAGGAAAAGCTCCTGGTCAAAGAAGTCTATCCATGGTAATGGAGTAGCTTCTGATCTTGCGGATGCCGACCTGTTAGCAGAATGTAGAAATTAGGATGTGTTCATATGGAAATTAAAAACGGAAGGGTTAGGAGGCACACCTAAAACCCTGATTAATAAAAAGCATGGAATAGCTTATTTCAAACACCAAAGGCAAAAAATAAATTAAATACTGACAAACAAATATAAAAAAGCCAAATTCACAGAAGAGGACCCTAAAAAGAGACGACCAACCTACCTGGGTGGACGTGCAAATAAGTTTTGGCTTGCGGATGGTATCACTGTTCCCGTGGAGGATACGGATGAAGCTGAGGACGAATCATCATCTTGACGTTCGTGATGTATGGAGGTGGTACTACCATCATGATCATTCTCTCTATCCTCACCTAGTCCATCAAATACCAGTACCTCCGGAGGTAATCTAGTCAATCGAGATTTTGCAAAGTTTTTCTGAAGATCGCTCATATCTGGAGTGATGGCGACAGGATGAAATAAGTGGTGGTATAAAATTCGAGAATACGGAGCTGTGTAGAAATCAGCACATCGATGTGATGTGCCTCCTGATTACAGACCACACAGCCTTCAGATTCTGTTCTATCGTGCAAGTGAGGAAGAGCTGCCGCAGTTGAAGCAGATAAATGAAGTAAATAGTTCTGAGCTGTTGTTTGCCAGGCGCAAGTTTGCAGATGAGTCGCAGTAACTTCATCATACACATCCATGGCCATGGATTCCCTGTAGAGTTATCACGTTACCGTACCGTATCTATCGTTTCTTAAATACAACATCGGGTAATTTCCGACCAACAAACTTTCCATCCCAACAACAACAAATATCAGACGGCCAGAAAAATTGAGTAAAACGTGAACTCCAAACTTTGTTGCTAGTTTGTTGTACTGTTTCATACACGGACTCTTCAAAAGTTGCATTTATTGGCTCCGATCATTGCAAGTATCTACTACCCATTAAGCTATGGACAATTCCAACGTTATTGTCATTATTATATGTGAACAAAACCGATGATGGAAACGTACGTGACGGTCCACGAAATTATCCATATGGGGTCATATCCCAATGATGGGATGACAGGAAGCCTTTCAAGTTGGACCCTTAAGGTAAAAAGCATTATCATATCACAGTTTATTTATGTTGCTATTTTAATTGGTCGAATAGCCCGGATACTGTTGTGTAAAGCTCAATTTTGAGGCAGGAGAGAGAAACATAGGCTCTGGATTGAGGGGGAACGTGTGGAACAGATATATTTTCCTGGTAGCAACATTGTTTCAAAGATGAAAAAAAGCATGGAAAGGAAGCTGTATAGAGTATATTATTGTTATGCTTTGATGCGGCGGTTGGAGATAGAAAATAAAAATGATATCACGGGAGCAACCTTATTTAAAGCTTAGAACTCCTCGATGACATCACATCATCCTGCCAATGACGATATCAGCAACTCTCTCGAAGACCGGGTCTGGTAGAAGAAGGTCTCTTCGCCACGGCAAAAAACAAATTATGAATCAAATCACCTTTGTATTGCATTCCTTAATATCTAAATTTTGGTTTTATGGACTCCGTTTGCTCTCTAGGTCGTCTACTTACGAAAGGGCTTACCAGCGCCCTGTGATATCTCTTGTTGACAACTTCGATAACTCTTTATTTCTAGTGAGCTAGGGGGACTTTTTTCTCACACAATGTCTCCGCTATGGGGTTTGAGAACGCGCGAGGAGCACAGCGAGGGAGAAGAACATGGTGAAGATGAAGGCGCAGGAAGAGGGCATCGGAGAGAGGAGCCAACAGAACGATCTCGCCTGCTACCACGGGGTGGATATTTAGATCCTGACGACCCAGCAGTAAGTCTTCAATTTCTTCTCTCTTAACCTTCCCAGAATAATCCTCCATGGACGTTTATTGCCCAAAAGAGGAAAAAGAAAAGAAAAGGCTGATCACAAACAGGTCTCTCCATACAACCTCTGGAGCGTCCGGGCGCTGCGAAGCTTCACCATCCTCTTCCTGGTAGTAAACCTGATCTGGTGGATTCTACTGCTCGCATCGACTTTCGTCAGTCCACCGGGTATGAACAGCCGCGGCTCCGGTTTCCTCGATTTCTCCTTCACCACCCTGACCATGGCCAACCTGTTAATTGCCCTAATATTTTTTTCCGTCCCTTCGAGGCCCATGACCATATGGGGCGCGGTCCTCTCCCTCTTCCTAGCAGTAAACTTGTTCATCATAGTCGGCGTGCCCCGTCTCCGCGTCGAGGAGGGATGGGTAGGTATTGCCTCCGCCGCATGGGCGACGATGATCAGCCTGTACCTATTAGCCCAAACCCGTTTCGTCGCATGGGGCAAGCGTGAGGAGGAGGAGCGCTTGACGGGAAGACAAGAAACGCGGCGAACGCTGCGAGAGTGGTTTGCCGTCCTGGTCGAGACTATAGTTACCACCGTAACGGTTCTCGTGGCCATTTTGCTCATGGCCACTTTGATCCTGCGCGCCAAGGATGCCGGCCTCCCTGCTCCCGGGAAGAAATATTACGTCGACAACGACAAATACCAAATCCACCTAGATTGCGTTGGTACGATCCCCTCCTCAAAAGCGGGTAATCGCAGCGCAACTGTCCTACTGGAAGCCGGCGAAATGCCCGTCGAAGACAGTTTTCGAAGCTGGGTACATGAGGCGTATCGCAATGGCTCAATTGATCGATACTGCTACTGGGACAGACCCGGCATGGGGTGGTCGGACAATGCCCCATCTCCACACTCTGCAGGCATGTCCGCCGACGTCCTCTCTGAAACTCTAGCTCTAGCAGATGAGGAAGGTCCATGGGTCGTCGTATCCGCTGGCGTCGGGGGGATATACAGCCGCATTTTCGCCAGTCGACATGCCGGCGACATCACGGGTCTGATGCTAATTGACGCCTTGCACGAGGACCTGTTGCCGGAGATAGGCAAACCAGGTCGTGGCTTCAAGCTCTGGCTGCGCGGGATATTCTCCCCGCTTGGACTGGATAGGTTGGCTGGGGCGATATTCAAGCGCCGCACGAGGGAAGACCGCGTGTACGGTAAAGTGGCGTACCAGAATGGAAGATTCATCAAAGCGAAGTTGCAGGAGAACCTTGTTGCGGATTCGACGACGAAAAGCGAGATTGCCAGCGCGAAGCACATTCAGTCTCCGTCCATGCGGTTGGTTGTTGTTAGTTCTGGTATTGAAGTTAGGAGGAGCCAGAGGTGGGCAGATAAGCAGAAGGATCTGACCAATATAACTAATAATTTGGTAGCGTGGGATGTGGTCAAAGGTGCGCCACATGAGGTTTGGCGAACGGATAAGGGCAAGGCTTTGCTAGGAGACAGGCTGAAGAAGTTGGCCAAGCTGTGAGTTGAGGTTTATGAAAAGCAGATTCAGCCTCTTCCTGAGGGAAAATTGTACTCCTGTGGCTTCCATTTCGCTCTTTCGGCTATTAATTTGTTCTATCCGAAGGCGCAATTTTCTGTTTTCTTTTCTTTTCTTTTCTTTTCTTTTTTTCTTTTTTTTCTTTTTTTCCTTTTTTTCCTTTTTTTCCTTTTTTTCCTTTTTTTCCTTTTTTTCCTTTTTTTCCTTTTTTTTCTTTTTTTCCTTTTTTTCCTTTTCTATTTTTTATTCAATTGCGTAACCCGAGCAAGGCGCATGTTTGGGCAAGTGGATCTAAACTGTAAATATTAAAGTCTTGAGCTAATTGGTGTAAATAAATGTCATCCTGCTCGATCTCTAAAATACCATGATAAATGATAAATGATAAATCCAAGAGGGAAAGGGGTAATCGGAGATAAAATTCACGGAAGCTCCAAATTCTCATCAGCATTACATTGATCATTTACTATTATTCAATGATGCTCAAGCTGACTATGTTCGGTTTATCTTTTTTAATAAAAACCACAGAAGTTCCGAGTGCATAGCTTCAGGCTATTCTAACCCCCAATCTCCTTGCGCTTCCATTCATCGCTATCAGGACAAGGCGCGGTTTTAGTTGGGTTTGAAAGGAATGACTGTAAAGAGAAAGCTATGCCAGTAGTAAGAGATAGAGGTGCAGGTAGACGCGGTGCTAGCGAAGCATCTCGAAGTAGGATGGTAAATAGAAAGATGGGTTGGCAAAGGTTCGTGAACGTATATGCACCATATTGTATTTAAACTGCAAATCCGATTTTCGTAACGAGAGCAAGGAAATTCTATCACGAGAGGGTGGATATGGTTTGGGAAAATGCTATCCTAAGCTAGCCCCCTTAAACCTCTTAGCAAGTTGTTCACCATCCGATTGGGGATGTTCCGACTTAAGGGTTTTTGTATGGCTTGAGAGTTGATGGGAAGAGATGGATGTTTTTGGCTGGAAGGGCCAAGGGCGCTTGGGGGGCCGCTCACCGCTCTCCTGAAGTATTGTAACCAAGGTGGCCCAGCCGGGTGTGTTGACTAATTGCATGCCATCCGCGGGATCATGGGTCCGGGCAACGGTACATAAAAGAGATTCTTCGTCCTATAGCCGGAGGAACGTGAAGGTTAATAAACATGACAAATATAACTCTAGACAATATTGAAGACAACTCTACCTTATTTAAGATTCCAAGCCCATGGAGGAAGCAAAGGAGATGGAAGTCCGATACAGCACATATCGCCTTGTTAGGGTCACCGTGCGACACCAGCTTATTAGCGAGCGTTCTCAAATCCTGGCTCTCTCCAATGACCTCGCGGTTTTCGATTGGGAAAGTCGAATCGTTGAACATAACGTCAGGGTCAGTTGGGAACCCATGGGTTAGAGTGACAAGGAGGTATTCAACAGGGAAACTCGGTTTCGCATTTTCCTGGACATTGGCGCCATACTCGTTGACTCTGCGGTAAAATACCTCGGGAATATACCGAGCTTTGCTCAGATCATCATCAGGTTCGTTTTCTTGTTGTACAAGCATAACCCCGGGATCTGCAGAGGGCTCAATTATATCGGCTTTCACCATTTCAACTGCGGAGTTAGATGCTTGGTATGCGCTAATCGAAATTGCACCGTCCTCATCTCCGCTAAGCACACAAGTGACAAAATTCGATCCAAACTGGCCCGTTTCACTCCATTTTGTTGCTTTTGGGTATCTGGCTTGCAGTTGTGCTGCAAAAATAATTTCCAGAGAAGAGAGATAGTAAGAGTCAATATGCCGTTTGCAAATAACTGTACCATCCCCAGCTCTGGCGTCCATGAGGTCTGTGAATATGACACCAATTTTCTCCAATCCACATAATTTGGCAACTTCGTCAACATCCTTTTCGTTACTCCATTCGTGAAGCGTCACACCATCTATTTCACCGAGTTGTGGTGGTTCATAGATTGCTTGGACGACAGCCTTTATCCCAAGAGGAACTTCGGTATACTCCTCATAAGTTCCGTATAAAAAGCCAAGTCGTTGAGCTCCAGATTTTCGCCAAAAGTCCAATAAACAATTAATCAGGTCAGGAGAAGAAAACTCAACGTGATCAACCATACGAAATGGTTGGGGCTGCAGCGTGATCGCACTTGGTTGGCACTTGGTGCAGATCCCCTCTGGCCAAGCGGGATGGCCGGATGGACAGTCTCTTTTCACCCTGTAGTCGGGTTCTGTGAGAGGGGGAATATAGGAACTCTTTAACTCCGGCTTATTTGTAGATGAATTTATTTTCCTGAGATATGAGTGAAATGAGAGGTGTTTTATCTTCTTCTCCACAAGATACTCAGGTGCATATGGCTCCAAGGGCATACAATAATCGCACATGCCTTTTGGTCCATGCCTGCACATTTTGTAATCTAGGCCACGACTTATTTTTCCATCCTTTCCATCCAATCGATCATCGAGGGGTGACTGCTTAACAACCTCCCACGGGGTCTTAATAAGCGTCGTAGATGTTATCGCCTGGGCAGGAGGAGGAACTGGTTCTTGTTGCCTCACCGCAACGCCGTCCAGGCGACGTGATCCGTTCTGTGGTCGGGAGGTAGAGGATGGATGGTCACCCGAGCTGCCATTTACCACAGCGGTCTCTTCTTCATAACCAACGAAAAGTTTGTCTCCGTGACTGGATTTATGAGCCTTCATGACAGGAGTAAACAGGTATATCGAGATGGTTGACTCACGATAGTCCAACCCGCTGGATAGTAAGCCCCTTCAGAGTTGAGATATTTCTTTCCTGGCCTCCAGTCCCTATCGGTTTGTTCGAAAGTACAACAGATGGAGGAGCAGTATTCTTGGGAAGGTTATCCAGCACCTATTTTAATAAAAGTTGAACATTAGCTCTACGCCAACACAACAAACCTCTAATATGCGAGCCTAACCTTTGGCAGAAGGGATGGGAATTCGTCTGTCGGGTTCACCGTTAACCTGAACTGGCCGTTCCGGCTCTCGAACCGTAGCAGTATAGGTCTTGCCGGCGCCATGATTGTGATGCGTGGGTGAGGGGAGGTAAGGGCCGGGAGTGCACCGGAGGATCAAAGATAATATTCAATCAAAAATGGAATACTCAGGCCATGGTGAGGATACAAAAATATTCAGCAGTGGAGGTGAAGTCGGGGCCTGCCAGTGGGAAGTTGCCTGGAGGTTGCAATAAGAGAAGAAGCTGATCGAACTCAAAGGGCCACTCAATGTCACGTGGTTGGTCTGACTTTTTCCGACTCCTGTGGTCGCGGATTGTATGACATTCAGTGGAATCAGCAGGGCTACGGATTACATATAACGATATAAAGCGTTTTGCTCATGATTTCTTTCATTTCCCATAGCCAACTAAGTCAGTGCTATCATAGAGGCGCTCCTCAAGAATTAAACAGAATATCAAAACTACTTTGGAAAGAAAAAAAAAAATCCCGTCGCCTGAGCTCCTTTCAGCTGACAACACATTTCGGCAGCCCACATGGCCCAGATTTCTCACCCTGCCTAGCTGTTTCAGTAGGTTTTTGCTTCGGTACGGCTGTTGACTGTGGTTGGCTGGCCGTGGGTTCATTCCCGGAGGTATTGGTGACAGAGGATAGTCATTCAAACTTGACCTTGGAGACTGTCTTGTAGAACTGCGTGCCCTGCTCTTCGGCAAGTTGAATCTCAAGAGCAGATGGTTGACGCGAGCCATCAATACCCTAAAAGTCAAAAATTCATACGTTAGTTTCCCTTCCGAACACTTTCCCTAGCAAAGTACGCCAAAGAGGAGCAAACGGGCGATTTACAGCAAAAGTCCCAGCTCCCCACGCACTACCACCCCTCACTTCACTGAGGTTCGCCAAGATGGGCATCACAGTCTTGTATCCCAGAGGGACATAGATGAATCCGTGATGGGCCAGCGTGCTCATCGCAGCGATGTTGGTAGACTCCTGTCCACCACCTGGAGTTCCAGTCGAGACGAACAGGCCAACATATTTGCCCCAATAGCCGCCAGAAGCCCAGATACCGCCGGTTTTATCCCAGAACGCCTTCCACTGAGCGGGGAAGTTCCCGTAACGGGTTGGGATGCCCAACAGGACAGCATCGTAGTCCAGAAGGGTACTTGGTTCAGCAATTGGGTAGGACGATTTCGCCGGAGCCCGCATTTTATCGAGGACATCCTGTGTGAGGGTTTCGGCGATTCTATAAGGTGCGCAAAAACATGTTAGCTATCATTGGAGAGGAGCTAGCTCATTTACTGCTTTGTCCAGTTTGCGGTTTTCCTGAGCTGCTTTATCGCATGGGGCTCATACTGGTAAACATCTGCTGTACCTCCAGCAGCCTCAATGCCTCTTTTCTCAGCTTCTGCTAGCTGCTGGATATGTCCATACATGGAGTACTAAGCGTATACATGATCTCGTTAGCGTCGAAGAGGGTAAGAAACATATATGCTGGGTGGGAAGAGCAGACATACGAAAACAATAGCGATCTTGGGCGCCATATTGATTTTGGATGTTGAATGAAGAGATCTAGATATCAATTGAGAGTGATAATGTCACTTGTATACAATGCGCTCGGATTTTTGCAGTCAGCCGTGGGATTGTGTACTGGGGGAAGTGAGGGGAAGGGAAGGAGACGTGTATTAAATAGCAACCCCGATCTAAACCGTAAGTTGATCTACTTCCGCACGGTATGACGTGATCTTTTCCCTCTTAACCTTGGAAATCCTTCTGTGCCTCCCTTCTCGTTAACAGTGCTGTCTATTCGTTCTCCCATCTAATAATCTCCGTAATTCCAAGCCATTATTGCTGCAGATAAACACATTTTCCGCAGTCCTTCCCCAAATTACCTAATCCAGCGGATCTCTGTCTCCCGCTTCCCGGTGTCCACGGGCGCTAACACATTTGGTGGCAAGCGCTAGCGGGCGCCACTCCACTGTCACCAAGCAGCCTGATTAGTGATCAATAAATGTTGCTCTGCTGGGGGATTACAGCGACTTACTAATCCCGGTTTCACCAGATTAATTGTTCGGTCTCTCACTTGTACCACCACCGGCGACCCGTGCAACCTCATCCCTGCTCCCAGTTAAATCGCGGAAAAATAATACTGACCCCTCGCCGTCCATGCAATATACGCGTATTTCGAGGGGGCTGAAGAATTCTCAGTGTCATTAAGACCAACTGATTGGCCATTGATCAAGATCACGCATAGCCAGGCCCGATTCGGCGCACCATTCTCGGCGCACCAAGCACTAAAAAAATCATACAACGAGGGAACAGAACTAGACCGCGCCGGAACCAAGTTGCTGGGCACTTGGTTGAAGTTTAAAATTCAGTGAACATCCATCAGCAAGATGCGGAAGCATCCCACAATTATTAAATAAGTTACTGCCCGCGTGGCGAGTATCTACATAATAACAGAGAATAATTATATATCACAACATACTTTGGATCCGTGAGATCTCCCTGTGATGTTTGAGAGATGTCTATGGGCAGAAATGGTTGATCGAAAAGATTGAAACCGGAAAAGAGGACGAAAGATTTAGAAATATACATTATTGATTGCCCTGGCCCAAATTTGAGGAACAAAACTCTTCTTCTGAAGCAAGATTTCCTCTTCTAAGATGGATATTTTAACCTAATTTCCCTCCTCAACCTCTGACCCTTCCTAATTAACAGTTCAATGGATGCACATTGCGTGAAACAAAAGAAGTAACAAGATATCAATCGCATAGTCAGCCCACTCGATAGGAAAGAGGACGTCAAGGGCAAGAAACAATCTCGAAAGGTCTTCAGTAATACAATTGCCCGTTCCGCTGGAACCAAATACAGGTGGGAGCAGTTTTGCTTGCTGGCTACAGAATTTTAATCAGGAACTGGCGATCTAATTCAAGCTCACTACACTACGATATATGAACCTTCCACCGCGTTGTCGGGCCCCTCTACTGTAGGTAGATTAAATTGCTCATGAGTCGTTGTGTCAGGCGCTTATAAGTCTTGCACAAGCCAGGCTCGTTTGACATAAAGGTATTTGTTTTTGCTTGTTCTTTTGTTGTGGAGGATAAACATGTATGGATGACGACATCGATTAAATATATGTCAGTCAAATTGAGCCGACATTGCTAAAGGCACAGACGGTTATAACAAAACAAATTCGAATTTGCCTAATATGCAAGTAGAATTACCAAATAGCCTGCAACAAAATTGCTACTTTGTATGTATGTACATACATATATGTACATCCCTTCTCCCATTTACACTTTGGCTGTTGGCGTGCGATTACCTCTTACAGTAACCACTGTCGCCACCCTGGAATCATGGATATTGGGACAGTGAATCAACAAACATCTCGAATACATAGAAACGACTTATCCAGGTATACGTACAATATTGCTCAATATCATGGATTTCACAATGACGGTTCTATCTGTATTTACCGCTTTCGGTGCCCTCGCGATCTTATACGTCTTTATCAAAGTTTGCCACGTCCTCTACATATTCTGCCACCCTTCCACCCTTCCAAAATACCTAGATAAAACTAAAGGCTCGTATGCGCTAGTCACGGGCTCCACGGAAGGGATAGGGACTGCCTTTGCCAGAGAGCTCTGCAAATATGGCTTCAACATCGTTCTTCACGGCAGAAACCCGGAGAAACTATCGCGTATCGAGAATAATCTCAAGCATGAATTCCCGCACACCAAATTCCGACAATTCATCTTCGACGCCTCCCAGCCCACCGAATCTCTCGAAAAAGTTGTTGACAGAATGTTCAATGATATCCCCCTCACAGTCCTCGTGAACAACGTAGGTGGAACAGCTGGTCAGACACGTTCGCAGTTCATGACTTTGAAGGACCATACGAATGAAGAGGTAGACCGCGTCATTAACGTAAACATGCGCTTCATGACGCAGTTGACGCGTGTGCTCCTTCCACATCTCGAGCGCAACTCGCCAGCACTCATCATAAACATCTCATCCGTATCCTCTATCGGCATGCCGTATTTGACCATCTATGCCGCCACTAAGGCGTACATCCAGTCGTTCACTAACGGGTTGAATATGGAAATGAAGGCTGAGGGCAAACACATCGACGTGATGTCCATGGTCGTCGCGAGCACGCAGACGGCTGGAAACCCTCGGAGGCTCAGTTTCTTCGTTCCGACGGCGGATAAAATTGCGAGGTCCTCTCTAGCGCGAGTTGGCTGTGGGGGGGTGTCAGTAACCCCATACTGGCGACACTGGCTCCAGAAATTGACGGTTGATATTCTCCCTGAGAAAATGGTGCAGTGGTTGGTCGTTTACAATATTGAGCCTCTCAAGGGGGAGTCTGATCAAGAACTCGAGTGGAGTAAAGGAACAGCACAGAAACCACCCAAGGGAGGTGGCTAATTTCTTTTCCCAAAGAAATTTCTCTGGGGTAGCTTGAGCACACAATACGATTAGTGTAGCAACTAAGCTATTAACTAGTGCAGAGATATCAACCAATAATTTCTCATACTAAATTCTATGCAATCTGATTTGTTGATACATATTCACGATCTCATGTTTTCTGCTCTAATAAGTGTAAGTTACGCAGTAACCGTGCCATGCTTACTCACTCTCTGTAGTGAGTGCGCCACAGTGTACAGAAAATCACACTGTACAGAAAATATTTTCAATATCTTCATTCTTAGACTGGCCGCCGGGACCATGAATTTCATGTTTGGTCCCATTTGGTCTGGTCCCATACATTTCTTGGCGTGAATCCTGCTGGGACTGGCTATTAAAAAAACATGTAAAGTGACTATATATCAGATCTTAAAATGAAATCATGACTTGAAAAAAATGAGAAAGTGGTTTCATTTGATCTCATTTAGTCTTATTCTTGGTATAAAGTTACTATTTTTAGACATTTTAAGATTTTTTTTAGACTATTTTTAATTTTTTAAAAAGTAATGCTTTTTGATAACACTTAAATAAGATTTAAAATCATTTAAAGTAATAAAAATAATTTAAATTGAGAAGTGAAAATCATAATCTTATTTGAAAAATGTGATAAGAGTAGATAGTAAGTCTCACTGAGATAGTATAAGACTACTATCTAATGTTAAAACCATGTAATAAGATCAGTTAAATTAATAATGAGACTATTAAAAAATCTGATTCTAATCTCAGATACAGTTACACAGTCAGTCTATTCATTCTTCATCTTCAAATAATTATTATTAATTATAACCATGTCTAAATCTTCTAATTACACTGAGAAGCAGTTGTAAAGAGCTGTTAACATGTATAAAAGTAATTTAAAATTAAAAATCATGTCTCTGTTATGAGAATTCAAAGTCTTATATATTATCTTATATGAGAGAATTAATAGAAAGAAATCAAGAACTATAAGAGTTTCACTGAATCAAGTATTGAATAACAGTTAGAAAGAGATAATTAAGATATGAATTTATCAGTTAAACATTAATTTTTACTTATTCATCATTGAGTATATCAAAGCTGCTGTAAACTGTATATTAAAACAGTATTATATAGATTGTCACGCTCCCGGCCGTGTCAAGACCCTGTTACGGTTTCACACGGCTCATTACTTCTATGCAGATGATTTCTTCTCATCTGAACTGGTTTTCAATCACTTTATGACATCATTCAGATATATCATAGAAAGATCTGATTGATAAATATAAGAACCTCACTTCTATACAAGATCAGCAGATTACTCTTTCTTGACAATGAAATACTACTGAGATATCACTTCAACTATTCTTACTCATGAAATAAGAGAAGAGTATTCACTTATTATCTATATAGAATAGCTAGATACTGACTTCTTATTAAAGAAGTCAGTGATTTGTTTTTCTTCTACTGAAATATATACAAGAGTTACTGTGTATCTTATATAATCTTCTTAGTATACTAAGTATTATATCTATGATATTCTCATAATAACTCTGTAGTCTACAAGCTCACTATTCAAGCAAGATAGTCAAGCTCACTTATACAGCTTCTTAAATAACTATTCTTATATAATATCACTGACTAGTTATCACTTCAGTTCTGTCATGTTATAATTTAAATCACTTAATCTAATTATATATTTGAATCAGTCAAGCTTTAACAGACTGATATAATCTTATACACTCATACTGAGACTGATCTGATCTCACTCTCTAAGAGAAATACTATATTATTCTCTAGAGTGTATATATCTCTATCTCAGCAGAAATTCAAGATTTCTGAAATCACTGTATATTTTGACATAAGCTCTTTAATTACTCTGTCACTGCTGTGACCTCTACACATCTACATCTATTATAAAGATAGAGAGATTAAGATCAGAGATTTACTGAGATATAAGAGAAATATCTTGTCTGAATTTCACAGCTTTATCTGTATTCTTGAACAGAAATTCCACCTTAATCTGAGTCAGTATAATACTTATAAAATATAAGTAATATATATCATCAACCTTCTTGAAGGCATCTCTATAACTACTTAAGCTATTAAGAAGAGAGAGCTTGAGTATATTAATACTATTATAACTTAAAAAGAATTCAAGAACTTTCTACTGAATTAAATTAAAGATTACTGTAACTACAGCTTTATAGCAGTATAGTAATTTAACTTATTATATTAATAAGATAATGAGAATTCTTTCAATTTCAATATAAGATTTGAAGAATATTAAGAGAAATTAATTAATAATTTAAATCAATTAAAAACACAGCTTTATCTTATGAAGCTGACTTATAAGATACAGATAATAATATTATAATATCAGAGTTTATTAACTAATTATACTGAGCTTGTCAATCTGGCTTTTCAGATCTATTTGAATAATCAATTCTTTAAGAAAAAGATTAATAAGATCTCTTCTAAGTAATTAATAATAAGATCTAAACAGTACTGTGACAGCTTCAGTGTAGAGAAAGTAAAGAAGAATTTCAAGTATTCTGATTCTTCACTTACTGTGAAGAAATGTTAAAAAAGATTTGATAAAGATTTCTATTTCAACTGTGAAGCTGATAAATACTATATTAGTAATTATAAGAAGCTGAAGAAGAGAAGAAACTGAGAAGATATTTTCTCAAAGTTAACTTCTCTTCTGATAAATGTATTCATGAAAGATAATAAAGAGAAAGAAATAAAGAATTGATAATTCTTATATCTCTGAGTTCATATTATAATCACAATGCATACTCTGAATAGAGAGATATTAGTAAGATGTCTACTTAACTTTAAGATAAATATTAACTTCATATTCTATTTCTTTTCTTTGATGAAGAGTTGAAAGAAGATAGATTTATCAGATCATATAAAATTTACAGATGAAATAAAATATCACTGTTTTAACATAATTTAAGCAAAGTGTGTAATCACAGATTTAGAAGAAATCTTTAAGAAGAGCAGTCTGCTTCTTCACACAGTTAATATCATAGATAAGAACATTATTCTAGATCTCTTATAATTAAGAGAAAACAATCCTCTTATTAACTGAGTTACTCAGATATAATGATATTATCTCACTAATGAAAAGACAGTGATAGAGAAATCTGAAGAGTTTCATCAGAAGAATCTTGAGAAAAAGATTGAGTCAATATACTATGTAACAGGTGATTGAGACTTGAGAATAGATGAAGAAGTTATTACTCTCACTATAAAATTAGCAGCAGTATCTGTTATTGAAGACAGATGTATATAACATCTCTTTACAGATTTTAAGAATGTCTTTTCAGAAAGAAAAGCAGTGAAGTTTCCTGATATCAAGATATAATATAAGATTTATCTTGAAGACAGTGTAACAGTACTGTACAGATCTCTTTATAACTTATCTATAAAGAAATTAAATATTCTGTGTAAATATCTTGAAGAAGTGCAATTAAAGAACTGAATATATTCATCAAAGAGTCTGACAGAGACATCTATACTCTTTATACTTAAAATAAATGATAGACTATGTCTATGTATAGACTACAGAGATCTCAATAAGATGATAATTAAGAATTACTATTCATTACTATTAATTAATAAGATGATTGATTGATTATCTGAAGCAAAGATGTTCTTAAAGATTGATATACAGAATATCTATCATAGAATCAGAGTTAACAAAGATAATGTTTGAAAAACAGCTTTTTGTATCAAGTACAGTAATTTTGAATATCTTGTTTTATCTTTTAGTCTTTATAATGCTTCAGTCATCTTCTAGATCTATATAAATAAGATGCTGTAGAGTCTTGTTAATGTCTTCTGCATAGTATATCTGAACAATATTTTAATCTTCTTGAAATCAGAGAAAGAATATGATATTCATGTTTAAGAAGTATTAAGTCACTTGAGACAGTATTAACTCTATACAAACACTGAAAAATACTTATTCTATATGCAGAAGATTGATTTCTTAGATTATATTATTAAGATGAATAGCATTTCAATGAATAGAAGCCAGGTCTCTGTCATTAAAAACTGACTGACACTGTAGATATACTGTGAGATGCAGATGTTTCTAGAATTTATGAATTTCTACAGATGATTCATCTATACATATTCATGAATTACTGTTCTTCTTACAGATCTGTTAAAGAGAAGTGTGAAAGACAGAAAAATAAAACTATTTATTCTCACTCAAGACACTGTGTAGATGTTTGTGAAATTGAAACAAGCTTTCACAGATGTTATGATGCTGAATCACTTTAACTCTGATTTATTCAGTCAGTGTGAGACTGATGTATTCAGAAATGAAATCTATGAAATCTTTTCACAGTTAACACTGAAGACCTTTCAATATTGAAAGAATCAGAAAATAATCACTTCTGAGAAAACAGATAATGAATTATCTGTAAGAGAAGACTTTTTCACAGAGTTTATAAGATACTGTAAATGAAGATCAGTGACTTTCTTCTTCAAGAAGTTATTACTCATGCAGAGAAGATATAATACTTATAATTAGAAGATGTTAGTAATTGTCAAATTCTTTAAGATCTGATAACATTATCTTCAGAGTAGTAAGTACTCAGTATAAGTTCTCACTGATTATATAAATCTGCATTACTTCTTGATAACAAAGAGCTTGACAGAATGTCAAGTCAGGTGAGTAAAGCTGCTTTCAAAGTATGATTTCTATATCTGATACTGTTCAGATCAGCTTAATCCTGTCAATATACTGTTTAAACAGCCTGATTATAATATTATTAATGCAGAGAAGAATTCTATAAAAGAATCTCTGTTATCACTGTAGAAGAAGCTGGCTGCAGAGAGTTAAAGTTCTCTAAAGCTTGAAAACAGTGCTGAAGAGGCAGCTGTGTGACCTAGTATAGAAGATGAAAGAGAACTCAGATCTCTGCAGAGAACTGATACTGAAGATTATAAGCTTCTTATATTATATCTTACAATCATTGAATTAGCAAAGAATGAAATGATCTACAATCTTTTAACTTAACTACTTTTGAAATTCATTGATAAGTTACAGAAGAAG